CCAAATGACACCAGTGTGCTGTCTTCTCTCTGGCTTCTCCTCTCTATCAATATTCAACCTCATTCACGATTTCTCACTTTGCTCGTCGTATTTAGTTTTCTCTCCATTCGTTCTTTCCAGATAACAATCGCCTACGATAATAAGTTGTCTAGAAATAATGAATCCCCACCCACTAATCTTGGGTGTATGTAATTCCAATCCCCTTTCTCCAAGAGAACTGATCTTCATTAGGTGACAATAGGTCTAAACACATTGGTGTTGAGGAAGCTGTTATGTTTACAATGATATTACCACCATTTCGGCTGCTTTGTCTCATCGTCATCGATATTACCACCACCATGTCTGCTTTGTCTCACCACCATCACATTAGCAACCACCACTAATCTAAATGGTTTTCCATTCTTCATAGTCGTTGGCCTCAGGTAACCTGTCGAATTTTGGCCCATCTTTTACGTTTTCTTTTTATCACATATGCAAAAGGTGAAAAGAGATGACATGAGGGAGAAGAACATATCACAAGGCCCTCTATGCAGTTCTTGTAAGGATGCCCTTTCTATTTTACATCTACACCAACCATCATTTTTTTACTTCCATGTTTTAAATTTATGCAATTTGTGGGTACCCTGTTTAACCGAGAATTGGTTTTATTTCTCTGATTATTCCAAATCAGTGAAAACCTTTGTATACTGTAGTTTGACCAGCATAGCGTTTAAGAGGCAGTCATTAGAGGGTCAGGAAAACTCAAAATTGTTTTTGGTATGTTAAAAACTGATTTCATTATAACTTATACTTGAAAAAAATATGATATATTATTAGGATGTCCTTACTAGCTATAATTACCTTTGTTGTGTTATTAATTAATTTTCTTTTGATTAAAGGTTGATAGATATATGTGTCTCTGTTTGGAAATCTCAATGTACTGTCACTCTTGCTGGTGAATGGGTTAAAATTGCTCTCCTTGATGTTGTTTCTATAAGTTTCATCGCTCTCAATCCTGTTTGCACTAGGTAAAATCAAGAAATGATTGATAATGTTTTTACCCTTTCATGTTTCTAAATTTATATGAAGTTCAACTTATTTGATTAAATTCATTTGGAGGTCAGGTCAGCTTACAAGCAGATGCAACTATGGTGTACAGACACCGATACAAGCAATGAACAAGTAAGCAATGAACCGACACCATGCAGGCAACCTTGAGAGTAAAAAAGTGCAACAATTTTTTTCATTTCTATTTCATTTTATAAATATTTGCGATCCATTATTTTCGTATTTGACAAATCTGGTTACATGCAGGATGAAGTGCCTTTATCGTCCGTGCCATTGGTTTTATCTTTACTTTCTTATATATGGCCTTTCTTCAACTACTCTGCTTCACATCATGGTAGTTTCTTTGTTTTTGTATTACAAATGATCGTGATTTGAGTCAAGAATTATGGTCTATGTATAACTCATATAACAGTATAAATCGCAGTCAATATTGATAGTTGAATTTCTTGCAAATGGCCCTTCTTGAAATACCATTTTCATATTTTTAAACCAATGTAAATTGAAACTTAAGGATCTATTTTTTTAAGAAATAAGAAAGGAAAAGGAGGTTGCAACGATGGAATTATGGCAAACTACTTATGGTTTATTTTCATCATTTTGTTCTTATCTTTGTTTATGATATATTTATAGTAATTTTTCATTATTTGGCATTTATTCACTTTGGTGTACGACTGGTAATGGGTCTGTCATGATGTCATGATATCTGGTATCAATATTGATTGGTCATCTTATTTCAGGATGAAAGGAAGCTAAAAATACGAAATAGGAAATACTCTGAGTTGTGCAAACAAGTAGGAAAATTCCCTTTTGGTATTTAACTATTTCCGATTTCACCAATTTTTCTTATATAACAATGTCCATTAGTTTACATGTGTTTATAAGTCTTAATACAACAAATGTTTAGAGATGTTAGTTGTGAGAAATTAAATATCATCCTACCCATGCTCCTACCACTTTTAGATGATGACAAGTGTAATAAAAGTTTATTAGTTTTATTAAATATGGAAAGTGTTACAATGTTAAGTGAGTAGGAAGGTGGTAGGAGAAAAAAATAGGAGGATATTTGATTTCTCTTTAGTTATTATGTATATGTGAAAGTACATTGCTATTTCTTTCTACCTAATTATAGCAATGCACTTTTAAAGTACAATGGTTTAATAATTTTTTTTAATAAAATTAAATATTTATTTATGATAGAAATAAGAGTAAGATGCTATGTAACACAGCCAAATGAAAGTACAATGCCTTTTCATGTATTTAACCAATAATTTGGCTAAATACAAGATTTAATAATCTACATTCAATATTTTATCTAACATAACATTTTACTTTTATTTCGTTTTTTTTGTATTTTTATAATTTAGCTATTTTACATTTTTCTTATTTAATCATTTCTTATTTCAAAAGCAATGTACTTTGTTGTTCACACATATAAAAATGTACTTGCATTTCTTAATAATTTATATGCTAATGCAGCGTCAAAAATAGCTATCCAACTAGCTTCTACTATTGCTAAAACCAAAGTTGAAAACAAGATTGTAGCAAGAAATCTGGAAAGGATGCTTTTCATTGGTATTTCTTATATTTATTTTGAAACTTTTGTGTTTGTTCATTTGTGTAGCTTCAGATGTGTTATGATAATGACATTTGGGATTTGCAAGGGGTTTTCAGATCCTGATGAAAAAGACGAATTTTAGATCTGTGTGAAAAATAATTTTGTTCGAAATAGTCTTTAGATTAAAAAGGTTATTCTGGATATTTGGCTAAAGATAACCAAAAAATTATGTATCAAAGAAATTATAGTCTATTATCTTTAATTAGTATTATATTGTGTTATCCATTTAACTGAATGATTTTGTTTCCATGTTTTACTATTTTGGATGATAATTACCAAACAACAAACGGATAATTCGATCAATTGGATAACTATAACTTATCTTTATCATCTATATAAGATAAAAATATACTTAAAAATATTAAAAACAATAGCTTTTCATTTTCACATCGATATGTTTTGTCTCACGCTTTTAATTTTAAGGACTTTTTATTCGAAAATCTCCAATAAAATTTTTGTATTACACATTTTCATATTTCATGTATTCTTATATAATTTTATTATTTTTGTTTGAACGGTTTAACATATTTCATATTTTGTGTCGTCTTGAACTGTTGCCTTTTATTGATTATTTGATGTATATGTTACAAAGAAAGCAAAAGTTGGATTCGATTGTTTTAGATATGTATACTTTTTGGAACATAACATTTTTGTAAAAGAAACATATCGCCGGAGAAAGCAAACCGCCGCCGCCGCTTTGCGCGGACATACCACTAGTATATATATATATATATATATATATATATATATATATATATAGAGAGAGAGAGAGAGAGAGAGATGTAGCAGTGAGAACCACTTTTGAAAGATGAGTGATATTGAATTGATGTAGATGTTATTGAAAAAAGTTGATGTTACATGTTTGAAAGACTTGTGACATTGTACGGATGCGAATGACATAAATAGTATATCTACATGGCTTGCAAATGAAGATGAAGTGACATTGCAATTTTGTTTGAAAGTTGGCCATATGTCTGACCTTATATGTTAAAAATGACTTGACCTTATATGGGAAGTTATATATGATTGTTTCATCTATCTTTATAACGTCGGAGGGAGTAGTAACACTCCTACCATATTGCTATATAGAGTCTTTTTTTTTGTCACATAGGTTTTTGTATTGCAACGTAAGCTTAGCATGTATAGGTTGAAAAAGGTAGGAAGTGATAGGGTGAGGAGTTTAATAGGTTTTGTTTTGAAAAAAGAATTTAAAAAAAGAAAAGAAAAGAAAAGAAAATAACTACAACCAATCACAACGAACCATTCTTTCGCTATCCTCTCGTTAAGCTGATAGCGAGCCACCCTTAGCGAGTGTTGGGGGCGGTGTTCCAAATGCATAGCGAGCCTTAGCAAGGCTGCTTAACGAGACGAGTCCCTGCAGCCTAAGTAATAAAAACAACATAGTTATCTTTTTTAAGCAATAATAGTAATATATTTATCTTTTTGTCAAATAAAAGAAACTTCTCATTTTAACTAATTACATTAACGTATTTATCTTTTTTACCAATGATAGCAACGTACTTATCTTTTAACCGATAATAGCAAAATACTTATTTTCTTTAGTCAATAATATCAATTTACTTATAATTTAACGCATTCACCATGGAATTGAAGTTATTTGGATTATAATTTATGATGGAATCTCCATAAAGTATGTTTGTATATCATTTTTTCTTATTAACGCAACACAGTTTGGAAACACTATCTAAACAATAATGAATGTCAATATAAACTACTTTTTGCAATTATATATTCTTATGTTTGCGGCGACTCATGGAAACAAACGAAACTAAGATGCTATAAAAGAAAATAAATTCTCATCAAAAAATTCATCAAGGATACAATAGTCGTTTTACATCGGTCAATCTGTGATTATAAGAGTATAACATTGGTTTTTTTTTGAAAGTCTAAATACACCAACCATGGTATAAAGTAACAACATGCACCTCGTTGATTTTTAATACTTAATTGATAACGTCTTTTATCACATTTGTAGGTGTCATATTTGCATTTTTAGGGGGTGTTTGACTTATATTTTTAGAGACCAAAAGTCATTTTTGGAAAAGTTACAAAAAATCAGTTTTTCCTAACTTTTCCAAAAAGTTCATTTTCCTTCTATGTAAAATCCAAAAATAGCTTTTAAAATACATTTGCCAAACATCTTTTGCCTTCTATCTTTTTATCTTTTTCTAAAAGGAGTTTTGACCTATCAAAAGATAAATCAAACACCCTTAGTTGAAACATATTTTAAATGAGAAGTAACAATCACATTTTATCACATATAATTATAAAAAAGAAAGAAAACTAAATGATAAAGGTGTGTTTGCATCCAAAAACCATGTGGGCCGCTACCACTCTATCCTGCCGAGTATGGCCTCCCGCCACAACCACCGGCAGCCAAGGTCACTTCATCGTCTCCGCCAGGTATTCACGACCTCGCAAGAACATCAATTACTTCCCCGAAGACGAAGAGGATGAGGAAAAAGAAGAAATAGACAGTTGGAAGCCGGAAGAAATTGGGGATTCAGATGATGTATCATCATCCGTAGCGAAAATTAGCGGATCTGTTGTTTTGTTGGCACTGCAAAAAGCTAGTTCCCAGAAAACCTCCAAACAGATGACAAAGAAGATGAAGAAGAAGAAGAAGAAAGAGGTGGACGATAAAGGAGATGCAATTACAGATTACAGCGGCGTGAAGCCATTGTGCGTAAAAAGCGATTGGAAGGATAAATTGGATGAACTCGAGACACAGCTTCATCAACTAATTCATAACGCCTGATCTTTAGTTTCCATATCTTATAATTGTTGTTTATCTGTATTATTTTGCTTTAATTGTTGTTGATGAATCATTTCTGTTTATTTGGTGATTTGATAAAGTCTTTCCTCTTCATATAAAAAAAATCTCTAATGGATTTATTAAAAAAGAAAAGATACAACTAAAACATTAAGATTGGAATTAAATTTTAATTTGTGAAAGAGAGGAGATGAGAGTAGAGTAGGTGCTTCTACTCCTGTAGCTTGAGACACCAAATCACTATAAATCCAATAAATCAACTCCTAATGTATCATATTCATATTACATCCAATTATGATGCCTCAACTAGCGACCAATGCTATCTTTGTAGTACCCCTAGCTTTAGCACTTGTACTTTGCTTCACTCCGGCCACCTTCGCCGGAGTTCTCTACCCACAATTCTATGACTTCTCATGCCCACAAGCCAAAGATATCGTTAACTCGGTTGTTTCGAAGGCGGTTGCAAAAGATGCTCGTATGGCCGCGTCATTGCTTCGTCTGCATTTTCATGATTGCTTTGTTAAGGTTCGTTTATGTCTTATCATGCTTTTTTAAAACTACAATTTTATTACTTCTACATAAAACACAGTACAACATGTGATGTCTTGGACTTGTATAACAAATGGGTCTAATTTTGTTAATTATGTTTTGCAACTAATAATGCAGGGTTGTGATGGATCAATACTACTGGATAGCAGTGGAACAATAACCAGTGAGAAGAGATCGGTCCCTAATCGTGATTCGATTAGAGGATTCGAAGTCGTTGACGAGATCAAATCTTCGCTTGAGAAAGCGTGTCCGGAGACTGTTTCTTGTGCCGATATCTTGGCGTTGGCCGCTAGAGATTCGACTCTTTTGGTACCATAATTTGAAGTGCATTTTTATCTCATTTACTTGAATAAATTATACATTATTGTACAAAATTCAAGATATAGCTAGTATCTTATCTTTTTATCCTGTTAACCACTTAACATTTTTTCTAGTATTAAAATTTTAAAACCATTTCTACCTTTTTTACCTTAAAAAAAAGCTAACAAAATATATAAAAAATAAAACATTATTTTATTATTTTATCGCAAAAATAACATTTTTCTATCAATTTAGCATCTAATAATTGTTATAACAATCTTACAAAGATGGTACATAAATTGATCAAATTCATAATATATTTATGTAATTTGCCCTTTTTCAAACTAGCTATTTGGAAAAAGAATATCTTTCTTGGATATAAAATGAAGATATTGGTTTATCATTGAGAAAACAATAAAATAGCTAAATTAATAAAATATTAAAACCGTACCTAATTTTTCTATCGTATTTTACTAATAAGGAGTCAAATTATTATTATTATTATTATAT